GCCCCGCTCCGCCCCGCTCCTGGCGACCGTCGATGCGACCGACGGCCGCGGAGGGCTCTTAGCATGCAGCGTTTGCCCAGATCGCGGTCCCCTCCTCACCAATCCCTCGGCCACACCCGCACTTCCTTTGTACAACGCACTTCATCTATGAATTAGCTCTGACTGGCCAGGACCTTTGCTGATTTGCACCGGCTTGTTCTCGACTGGTCTTAAGCGTTTACTCGGGAATTACAGTCTTGGCTGCTGAGGTGATGTCATCTTGTTACAGTATTCAGATGACTTCGCATTGCGACTTTTTCCGTCTGTTTCAAATCCATGATTATTGAATTCGTCCCAAATATGTTTGTTTATTAACGTAGATTCAATAAACTAAACATTATTATTATTTATATTAATATTATATAATAATAATAGTAATAATAATATTAATAATAATAATTAATAATAATACCATAAAACTAATTCTTCACGCTATTGAATTTAAATTACGTTGCCCAAGAAAATTGCTACAGTCAAACTTTAAAAGGCTCTGAGCGTAGCTCATCTACTCACACAAATCCTCTCTCGCACGCCCTTCGACTCCTTCCTGTTCCCTTTCTTCGATCCTATTCTCCCGCACCCTCCTCTTTCTCAGCCGTCGCCGTCGCCGTCGCCGTCGGCCCAGAAGCCCGCTGCGGGTCGCCCCACACGCCCCGGCCCAGCTCGGGCCGTGTGTTTAAATGATCGGATTGGAGGGCCGGATAGGGCGGACACGGGCTCGCTAAAAGTGACATTGTGTGCGCGCGGGCCGGGCCCGGCCACCGCAGCGCGCCGCCGCCGCCGCCGCCGCCGCCGCTGGGGGGTGATTTGAATTTCAAACATTGTCCGCGTCAGCAGAACCCGCGGACTTCACGGCCGCGTGTTTGTGTTTGTAAGGGAAGCCCTTTGCTCACCCGCCAGCCCGCGAGCGCCCATGGCGGCGGTGCGGGTGGGAGCGGAGGCGGCAATGGCGGGGCCGATTTGGGGCGATGGGTTGCAAATGACTATATCGTCGACGGTGGCTGAGGTTGTTGGTTGTAGAAATTTTGTCATGGGCCGCGACGTGTTGCTCTTGACACTATAGAATGAAACGGGATGAACCGTTTGCTTCCAAGAAACGGTTAATTTCAACGATATTATTTTTTAAATATATTGAACATTGTGTGAATCACGAGAAAACATTGTTGCACTAGTGGCATTACTGCAGTGAATGTGTACGTTTTCGTTTTGTATTTAAACGCTTCGGTAGGCCTATATATTTGTTTCTCATTCTAAAATGTCGGACTCTTCTTACGAAATCACTCATCCACACGTTTTAAAAAAAGTATGTATCCTGATTTAAATTTTCAAAACTATTGAAATTATTTTAACATGTTTTGGAATTGACTGAAAAAAATGCGGTATTGGATGAACATTATCTTATAGCGCGCACAAAAGACACACTTTATCTTATTGCGCGCTTTGAAAGTCTGTCTCTCTGTTAACAAATCATAAATTAAAAGGCTCACTACGTGTATTAATTTAAAGATGGCGAAAGCCCAACAAAGGCAAATACATCCATTAACTAAGATATTTGGTCTATTGTATCCTCTTTACAATCGTATAACTGCAATACCTTTATTTTGCCCTTGTCTGATGTAGTAACAATAACAGTAGTTATTCAGCAAGTTCGAGGACGTGTTGGCAGCAGTGACGATAGCCAATCGGAGACATGACGATTCGTAGTCTATGCATGGGAAAACGATCCTAAGTGGTGTTGGCGAAGTTTGTTGTGAGATAAAACCACTGGGTAGAGAGTATGCCGGCAGTGCCGATAACAAGGGATCGAAAATGGAAAGGGGGAGGAGAGGAGGGAGGAGGGGGAGGAGAGGAGGGAGGAGAGGGGGA